CCTGGCCCTACTACTAGTAACAAGGACGCTACTAGGGGCTCCTGGCCTTACTACTAGCCTTACTACCAGTAACAAGGATGCTACCAGGGGCTCCTGACGCTACTAGGGCCTCCTGGCCCTACTACTAGTAACAAGGACGCTACCGGTCAAAAGGAATCGACGACAACCAGTTTTAAGGGTCGGTGTTGTGGCTCTCCAGGGTCGGCGACAAGTCCAGCGGCAGCCTGTCCTGGGCGAAAGCTCGTGCAAGCCTGAGAGCTATTGGCAGTGTTTTGAAGGGATCAGTCGGATGAGTATTAAGTTTATAGCAACAACGATAATGTCGGTATGAAGTGCATATATAAAAGCATGCTTTTAGAGAATTCAAAGCAATGAGGCAAATATATACTCCCAACTTTAGTCCTGAGTTGGAAGATCAACTTCCCAGATCCTTCTTGTTTTTTCTTCTCTCTCTCTCTCTCCACACATGCCGCACGTGTGGCATCATATGTGGATGAAGCGCATAGCGGAACCTAGTCCAGGGGCTTGATCTAGATACACCGCCGAATGACGCGGCCTTTGAATTTGCACTTCCCCGTATTCGAGAAATTTGGTCTTGGAGCGATGGATCAAGGACACAAACAACAACAAACAAACACAAAAAACCGGAATCCACTGGTCAAGTTTGCCGTCGTCGTCGTGGTGGTGGTGGCGGTGGTGGTGGTGATGGTGATGGTGATGGTGATGGTGGTTGTGGTTGTTGTTGTGGTGGTTGTTGTTGGTTGTTGTTGGTTGTTGTTGCTGGTGTTAGAGACAAAAACAGCTGCCCAACATAGTTGTCACACGTTGCAAGTCAGGGATTTCAAAGGGACACTGTTAGGGACCGGGATAGGGTCGAAGGTTTGGAGAGATGTTAGTAGCTGGACTTCTTGTCGTTGTGGTACTCAAGTCTTGGTTGGTCTGTTTCTTGTTTTTTGATGTTTTTTGGGGTGTTGTTCCGGAGGGGGGTAGAGACAACAACATCTTTTGAGTGAGGGGGGGCAAAAAACAACATCGGGGCTGCAGTTTTTGGTTCTAGGATGTGGAAGTAGAAGTTTTACAGAGGCTTAGCTGACCGGACTACCACTACTACTACTACTACTCCTCCTGCTCCTCCTACTACTACTACTACTGCTAGTACTACTGCTACTGCTACTGCTACTCCTACTGCTACTACTACTACTACTACTCCTCCACGACCACTACAACAACGACTGCTACTAGTACTAGTACCACTAGTACTAGCACTAGTACAAGCACTACCGCTACTGGTAAAAGTACATGTTGGCTGGTTGCTTTCGGGGGGGATCAAAATAACAACGACGGCTGCAGATTTTGTTTCCACCCCCCTGTAGAGACAAAGGAACAAGATATTTTGTAACGGGGCTTCAGTTTTTGTTTGTACCTTGTCCTTGTCCTTGTCCTTGTTGTTGTTGTTGTTGTTGTTGTTGTTGTTCTTGTTCTTGTTCTTGTTCGGTTTGTTGAAGTTGTTTGTATGTATTGTTGTACTCGTTTGCATCGGGGAATGCCGGCCATGTTCATTCAGTCTTGCAGCTCGTCCTTTTTCTGGGATGCTATGAGGTGATCATGTCGTATTTTCCATTCCAGTTGAAGGTATAAGTTGTGTTGTCCTTTTCTGAAAAAGCTTCAAGTTCTGTGGTAAACGCAATGCTTCAATGCTGGAACTTTGTCTTCTTGATGGCCCGAATCACTTGTTGATCTCCACCACGCTGCTGGTGCAAACTTTTGTCAAACGTTGACATCAACCATCAGCAGCAAAAGGAAAAACGTTTGATCCACTGCACCTGTCAAACATTGACTGTTCCTCTCCCATTGTCCGACATTCTGTTTGTCGACTTCTGTCTCGGCACATGCGTGTGTATCTTCTCCGAAGGCCTTGCCCACTGTTGTAGTTGAAAGTTCTCCTTTGATGGATCCACCTCTCCAAACCCGCTCCAACCCGCTCCGACTTCAGCCCCAGAGCTCGAACACTCTCAGCTCGCTCGTGGTCCTACGCCACGCCTGCGACGCCTTCCCTGCGCCACTCGAAGCGGTCGTGTTGGCCTGTCTCGGTCTTGGTGCGGCCGGTCAGCTGGCGGCCCTCGTGGAGCACGTCCTTCCCTCGGTTCGGCGGCTGTGAACTCGGCACGGGCCCCGCCCGAACGAGCTGAGTTGACGCTTCCCACCAAGCTGCTTGCCGCTGCTGTTTGGACATCCACACTGGGCCATTTTTCTGCCTCGTGGTCTGCCCCAATTGTAAATTTAACTTCATCACATGCCGACTGGCCTTGATCAAACTGGGAACAGATGTTCCTCCAAGAACTCCAGTGGCATGTAGACGCTACTGAAGATCTCGGTGTGTTGCAGGCCTGTGTTTTTGCGACTCCAACCGAAGCACCAGTACCCCTTTGTGTGCCATTCGATGCCCATAGCATACTGAGTTCGTTCCCCGAAGCAGATGTCTGTTGCATGAAGTCGTCTTAGACGAGCAAACCCGGTGTTTTCTCGAACTCTGAAGTCTTCGGTGAGCTGCTTGTAATCATTTCTTCAATTTGGTAAAGAACAATCCATGTACATCTATATATCATGGTCATCCCATGGCTCAGACTGTCAGTAGGGGGTGCAATCTATTTCCAATCTCCACTGCCCAGGTCGGATTGAGAGAAAGCGTCAACGCAGCGTTTCCGGAGAGGCGCATCGTCGTTTTGGTCTTCGCGTGCCGGGAGAGAACTGAGAGAATACCAGTGAAGGATATTCCTACCAAGAACGCGGGGAAATTCAGATAAATTCAGCAGGAGTCGCATGTGCTTGCTTGCGTACAGATTGTCATTCAATAGTCGCCTAGTTTCCTTTCTCACGTCTTGGACGAATGATCCGTGATGGTGCTCAGGATGAGGACTTCGAGAACAGGCCTGACGATGCTGTGATGCCGTACCATGCTGTAACATACTCACATATGGATCCGGGGCTCTGGAAATGTGTGCGCCTCTAAATAGAACTGGACACTTGGCGGGATTTCCCCTACCACAGGGTTCTCTTCAAGGGGGATCCCTTGATCGTGACATTTGGCTCTCCATTCCCTGACGCTGAGATGCCCCTCTCATTAACCTGCCATAGATGACTTTCTAACATTTCTCTTTATGGAGCCGTTGAACAAACATCAACTACCGACTCTTACAAATATGAAGCTCTACTCTACTCGCTCCGACAAAAGTGGGATTCATTCATTTGGCAACAGACTTCTCTTGCAAGGTTGGGTGCTTGTTTGCTGGTGGACATGGTGGTTGCCGTTTCCGTGTTTGGTGACACTCCTCCTCACTCCTTGCCAGTTTGGATCTTAATCAGCTAATGTCTAATGTTGGATGCCACCCTCCCTCTCCAACACGCGCCAACTCTGGATGGGATGCTTTGGAACCTTCAAACCACCAACCCCTTCCGCGTTCCGCTCGGCTTCCGCCCAGCAGCGATGCTCCCATGTCGCCGGGGCAGCCGGTGGCTCCGAGCGCCTCCCGGGCGTCGATGGCGCTCTCCGAGCTGCGGGGGCGCTCGGGGAGCGGGGTACCGGTACGGTTCATGCACGGTACGGGGCCAAGACGTTTTTCTTTTAACGGAAAAGGGATATTCTGTTTGGTTGGAATTGTCTGGTTGTGTGTGTGTTTGTTTGGACATCAATTGAGCTGAATGAAAGATGGAGCTGCAAGGTGTGCTTGGATTGAATCACTCGACGCGCTTGCCAAATTGAGATGGGGCTTCCCCAAGAAGGTATCTACTAGGAACAGACAGACTTAGTGTGATTCAATGTGAGATCCGTTTACCTTAGGAACGGGAACGGCTGCTTTCCCTTTCTTTTTCGTCGGCACTTCCATTTGTTCGGAGTCCTCTCCCCCCAGGGGCTTGCCGCCGCTCCTGGAGAAGGCCACTGAGGGCCCCGACAGCCCCGACGAGCGAAAGGAGATCACTCCGTGCGAAAGCATAGAGAATGGACAGCGCGAAAGGGGCATTTTTTTTGGTGAGTTTCAGGAGAGTTTTCAGTTTCTCCTTGGAACGTAGCTGCTTCAGCTGTTTTCTGAAACTCTTTGGCCACGCGAAACCGGAAAGGACCAGAAAAATAACTGAAGACAAATGAAGACCCCACAAAAAATGTCCAGTCAATTGGATGCGCAAGCGCAGGAGCCTTGGGATTGCCCTGACCAAGGAGTCTCTACCATCAGTTGGGTGGATTACAGTAGTTGGAAAAGGTGGAGGTATGTGAGGCATCGTTGAAAAAGATCAGGGGATATCAGGGGTGTGGGTGGATGGGGAGAACACATAGGCATGAGATGAGGCAGCTCACCACGCTTACGAGAACTCCCCAAAATATCCATGTTTGGTGAGCATCGTTTTACACGTCAATGGGAAGGATGAAATAGGCTGGTGATGGTCGGTATATCCCAGAATGTATGAAATGTAGGGGTACAGATCCATGGTATTTGTCTAAAGTACGAGCTCGGTTCATATGGCAATGTTTGCCATCCCTCACTGTCAGTGGCGTGGAAGGACTCTACGATTCTACAACTACATTAGTAACTAGCCAGTCCTTGCCAAGTTTCGGGCTGTTAAATATCCATCAACACGGACTGCTCGGTTGAGGGACTTATCAGAATAGCATCATACCATTCCTCACAGTCAACTATTCTTTGCCTCCGATGCGGGACAAGAGCGAATAGCGAATTCCATGCAGTCTGGCTGCCAGGATTCATGAGCAGCCCCTCGGAGCAGAGCAGTGCTGACCTGACCGAGGCTAGCTGGGACACGGGTGGGACCGAGGCTTGCTGAAATGGATAGCACACGGTTCAGGGTAGATTGAGTGGATGGCACACGGGCAACACAGGCCACGTCAGTTGCCTGAATCCCTGCTCAAGGTTCTTGAATGTTGGGTTTGGTCAGCAGCTCAACCTTGGATTGGCTTTTGGTCCATGGCAAAATCGAATGCCAGGAACAGTTGGGCGCGGGTGTTGCTGCTGAAGAGCGGTCTCCTTGCTCCAACCTCGAAACAACTATATAAATCAGTGCGGAATAGCAGTGCCCAAGGAGCCAAGCATTCTTGCTATATCTTGCTATATCTTACTTTGCAGTAGAGCCTGATGTCAAACCCTCGCGTTTGGCTTCACCGTCCTAAAGTCCCACAATAATTAGAGACTTCAAATACAGTAGATGGCCCAAGCCCACGCATTCCAGTTTTTTTTGAGGGTGGGTGTGCTTGGGAGAGCACACACTAGCTCAAAACCCTTAGAAAACACTGTAAATACCGTGCAAAATTTCAAAAACTGCTCTGAGAACTAGGCGAAACGTAATTTTTTTGATCTGTCTGTGCCCAGTCTCCATGTCCAATGTCAATGACAACAAATAACAGCTCTTCGTCTGCCCACTATCAATGTGCAACACCAATGAGAAATATTATCAGGTGAATCTCTCTCTGAGACAAAATGGGGTCACTATTGGTTTTTGGATGTTGGCTGCATTTTGTGTCAAACATTGTTTCTTTTTTGTTTTTTTTGTTTTTTTGTTTTTTTGGTTTATTGTTTTTTTGGTATTCCCTCTAAATTGGGATAGGCTTGGATCTCACAAAATTGATCAACAAATAGCTCAAAACCTCAATTTTGGAGAGGATTTTGCAAGAAATCACTGTAAAACACAGTGTTTTTGTATCATTTTTTGCATGAACAACATCTCCCAGGAGCACCCGTTCTGTTTTTTTTTTGGGTGCCTCTATTTTGACTCCTTGCCAACCTCCAGTCACCGTAGATGAGGCGCACATGACTTCAGAGATGTATAAATTCCTGGGCCATCTCCTCGCGGCTTGCAGTGAATGAATTCTTTGAGCTGCGTGGCCGTGGGCCCATCCCAAACACCTTTGCTGGGACCCTTAGTAACAAGAAGCTAGTAGTAACAAGTGCCACGCTAGTAGTAACAAGTGCCTTACTAGTAGTAACAAGAAGCTAGTTGAATCGCTTCACTTTGACACGCCCTTTGCTGCGGGTCGAGTCACGCAGGAACGCCTGGAGCACGCTGCCCGGATCGCAGCGGAGGCGGCCGCAGAGGCCGGGGATAGCACGCCCTCTTGTCCCAAGGCCGCCAAAAGCGCGGCGCGGTCTTGAGTCTTGGGTGTCACCTCTAGTCTGACTAGACTTCAACAGACCTGAGATGGGGAGTGGAACGTTTTTCCTCAGATAGAGCTGCTGGGGTTCTTACTTCAAGTATAGGAAAAGGTGCGCGTGCGCTTTGGAGCTTGGGTGCTGGTGCTGGTGCCGCTAGATGTGGATGGCCGTGAGCGCTTTGGAGCCTGGATGCTGCTGCCAGATGCTCCTGGCAGAGCCTGCATGCTCGTGCTGGGTGCTGGTGCAGGGTGCGGTTGCCAGATGTCTATGCCAGTGGGCGCTTTGGAGACAGGGTGGTGCTGCTTTCACCTGTCGAGACAGGGTGTTGGTGCGTGTCATGCGTGTCGGCGTTGGTGCTGGGTGCAGTTGCTGTGAGCTGGCTGTGTAGACTTTGAAAGTCGGTCGGTGCTGGGTACTGGTGCTGTGGTAGTGTTTCGAGAAATCTTGCCTTATTCTTGATATGTTTCAACACTTGCGCGTGGTGCCTATCAAGCCTGGGAACTGTACTGTTCGCCTGTTCGCCTGCAAAGTTTTGTACCCGTATATGTATACGCGCGATGTATTTCACTGCTTGCACGTATGTGTTTGTGCGCATGAACCCATGCGCGCAACGTCATATTGTTTTGGTCAGGCACTACATATTATGCTGGAACAGCATCTTAGATTGAAACGTGAGTCTGATGCCTCCAGAGTAGTGCCGTGTTGTGTTTCCAATAGTCTGGCTCTGGGTTGCTCTAGCTATGTTTGAGTGCTTGCTCGTGATGCTTGTGAAACCCAAGAGCTGTACTGGGTGCGCGCATATTGTTGTGCGTCTATGTGTACACGCAACATCCTGCTGTACTGTTTGCGAGTATACTTTTTGTATCTTTTTGTAAACATTGTACTTTTTCAAGTTTTTTCGCGCAACATCATATGTTTTCATCGGCAAGACACATATGCATATGCTAGAACAACATCTGCATGCTTTCGGAACGACATCGTCTCCCCACTTCGTTGCCACTGTTGCCACTTAGGCAATCAGATTACTCTATTTTTGGTCTCAGGTGCTTCTGCTTTTTAGAGTTGGTTGCAATCTGGAGTCTATGCCGTGAATTCTTTTTCGCTGGAATGATTGACTGCTTGGGGTCAGCCCTTTAGCTCCAACCAAAAACTGAAGATTGAAGACTAACACCCTCCCACTGACTTCCCTGGAGCCCCTGGAATGGAGCCTTTGACCCTGTGACAGGGAAGCAGTTCTTTTGGTCATGATATTCCATCTTAGATGATTGGCCAGGATATGTCGCACATCGAACCAAGGGACGACGAAGTGGACGAACTGGAACAATAGCACTGATTCGCCCTGTGCAGGGTATTTTACCACCTGCATGCGATGACACCGAAAGTGTGTCTCCAACCCATACGCCTGGGCAATGTTGCCTAGCTACCTGTTGACACTCCTTGCGCACATCAAGAAGGGCCTGTTTGGGTTCTGCCGCATGGGCCACTGGGATGGAACCCTTTTGTACATGCAAAAATGGATTTTGATCGGCACGCTTCAGTGCTGCACTGCACCCGATCTCTTCAGAGATCGTGATCACCATGGGTGGAACTGAACCGCGACCCGAGCGGAGGCTGAGTGCCTGAGCGACCCTGTGATGGACGACCGACCGAAGGACACACCGCAGGACCCTGGAGTGGGGAGTGGAATGACTTGGGGGTATTTCAGATCCGTCTGGTGTTCATTTGTCAGCATCTTCTGTCTGAAGGGGGCTTTTAATAGTTCCTGACTGTCTGCATGACCATGCAACAACCAATCTGCTAGCAGGACGATAGCAGCAGGACTGCTACGCCAGGACCAGCCGGGGTGGTCGTCGGAGCTGGTTTCAGCGAAAAGAAATCTTCTCTACAGCATGATGCAAAGGATCAGACCCACCTTTGACACATGCACTTGAGATATTGGGGTGCTGTTGTTACAGATTGGAGAGTGGAGGGGTGGTTCGTGTGATCGACTTGAAAGCTAGCGCGCCTCTCTGGGGCCTGTTGGTTCAACACGATTTGGAATCTGAGGAGAAGGTGGAGAAGGTGCGAAGAAATCAATGGTTCAGATGAGGCGCGACAAGCTGTGGTGACCTTGCCGGGGAAGGGCTAGCTGGTGGCCAGAGCTCGACTCAGAGGCGTTTTCGCTGTCTGTGCATTTGTCGTCTTGCAAACAAGGCAGATTGGCTGGTGTGTTGCTCATGAAGGAAAAAGGCTCTGACTCTCCGGACCTCCGGTCCCCCCGACCTGAAGTTCGAAGCCGCCGAACCCAGGCGAACCCGGCGAACCCGCCGTACTGTCAGGTGGAACTCCTGGGACCATCCGTTCCAAATGGACATGACGTGGAGAGGCCGGCGCGTGGCTCTCCGAGGGCGTCTCGGAGTGCCGGGCGGGGGGGGGGTGGCGGTGAGAGGCGCAGGCCAGAGAAGCCAGCAGAATCAGTGCGAAAGAACCAGGGTCCGGATCAAGATGCAAGCTCTGGATGGTCGCATCAAAGACTTGGAATGTAGACCTTGGAGCCTGCAGCAAAGAAGTTGCTGCAGGTATCAAATTGCCGACCATGAACTGGGGCCCTGGGGTTAATTTCAAGGTAGGCCGTAGAGGCGAGGTAACAAGTAGCTAGAGGTAGGTAGCTAGTAGAAGAGGTAGCTAGTAGCTAAAGTAGCTACTACCGGACGCAGGATAGCGCTCGCACTATTTGGTTCCTACATTTTAGGACAGCTTGAGTTTCAACCCGATTCTTTCAACAGTTCTGCGCCGGGGGAGAAGGAACACCAGTCCTGCGTCGGCACATCCTGCGGTCGAGGCCGAAAAGCGGCCGCCGCGTCCTCGGGCGCACCGGCGCTCCCGGCAACGGAAGCGGGGCCGGTGTCTGCCCCGGGCGAAGGAGATGACACAGAAGGGGAGACTAAGGCTGGGACTGGGCCGAAGAAAGACTGAGATGTTTTGGATTGCGTGCCAAGAACTGCGGTCAATTGTGCTCAATGTCCTAGGTGGAGAAATTCCTCTATTTTCATCTATTTTCTGGAGTGTCTAGAGTTCTAGATCTCGTCGAGAGATCCTTTCTGGTGCGCGATTCGAGGTGGTGACACTTTCAGAGGCGCAGCTTCGGCTGTAGGTCTTCGTAGCTCCTTGCAAAGCAGAGGATACACTCCGAATGCGGAGACAGATACCTACCATGATAGGGAAGACATGGTGCTTCCACATGGTGCTTCCATGAAAGGAGGAGGATCTTGACTTGGACTTGAACCCAGCCAATGTGCGGGAAGTGGAAAAAGGCTGCACATTGCTGGCTGTTACATTCAGCAAAAATTATTTCGAATGATTCGCTTGAGGTTTTGTGCCTGGTGCCTGGTTGGCTGTTTCAGATTCAATGGAAGATGGGACATGGAAGATGGGAACACGCAGAGCTCGCAAATTCTGGTCCGGCTCGGAAGGACGACATTAGACGGGGTTGGATCAACAGTTTAGATCAAGCAGTTTGGACCTTTCAGGAAGCACACACTCACAGACTCACGCACTCACACACACACACGTTCAAAGCTGATGTCAGGATCGTTGCAAGCTTCACCTCTTTCGAAGTGAGCACATTCTTGACCACAATGGAACTACCACTGGCTTGCTCACGGATCCCCTACAAAGATCACCGAAAACCCAATTTTTCAATGGATACGAACAAACATGAAGAATCGCTTTCATAGAATCGCTTTCATAAAAACATGGAGCAAAGCAGCAAGGCCACGCCGTGGCTTAGATCAGCGATTGTGATTGCCCACAAGCTGCTTGCAGCGTTTGCGATGTTGGATTGTCATGGTGGCGCGCAGAGGAATGCCTAGTGCTGAGACCATCGGAGCGGAGAACGCAGATGTGGGACTGGGATGGACTGGGAGAATGGTCTGGGCGTGTTTGTGACAGGGAAATCCTATCACTTGTGACCAAAACGGCACTGTGCGCAGATGCAATGGCAAGGGTGGTGATTTTATTTCAACTTCCCAGGATGTTTGTTCAGCGTGGAGTTTCCCTCACGTAAGATGTGTTGACGTGTGGGGCTGCCTGCTTTGATGTCCTTTATTCCGTGGCTCCGTGTGATATTTGTTCGACTTTTCCAGCCCAAGCTGCTGAGAAGTGTGATTCAAGAATCCCTGGCTTCTGTGGGTATTTCCCTGTGCTTGCTGTTGTGGATTGCTGCCAGGCAGATGTTTCATCTTTTTTGTTTCCTTTCACATGGGTCGCAGCGCTTGCACCCGGAGAAAACCCCATTTCTGCAGCCCAGTCTTGTGAGAAGCTGTCATACCCAACATGGGCTGAACAGGTGGAAAACCCCAAGGAAGAGCAAATCGATGCACCGCTGCGGGACGATCGTGCGGGCAACCAGAATTGCATCTTGAGGCGATCGTGGACGGTCGGTGGGTGGTCGGACGGTCGTGAGACGAGGACGGCAGAGGTCTGATCTTCAAAGACCACGGAGACGACCTTAGACGACCTTGGTGAAGTCAGTTGTGAGTGGAGTTTAGACAAGGGAAGGGGCGGTGATAAGCATGACTATTTTTGTAGGATATGGTTCTTTTGGGATTAGCAAAGCAGCAAGTGTTTCTTAGTGTGAGAAGTCAATTAATTAAAATTAGTGGTTGGAGAATGCCTCCTTCCTTCGCAGGGTTGGGCCTCGTGATTATAGAAAGGTTTTGAACTTTTGAAACAGAGTGGGGGAAGGTAGGGGAAGTGTGTTGACAAAACCTTGGGTTGAGCTTGTGACCTCTGGAAGGTACACCAAAAACACTTCATTTGCAAAGTAGAACTCGTTGGATTTCCACTGGAAGAGCAATCGCTTCCACTCTTCCATCATGCTGCTCTTTGGGAAGATCCCCTGTCGCGTCGACAGAAAAGCCTCTCTTGCAGGTGCTGCCGATGCATCTCTGTGGTCGATGTCATCGTGCATGGTGGCATGTTTGGGTGGGGAGGGGCGTCTCTGTCTTTGGAGCCTGGACCCTCCTGTGGTGCTGATGGTTTTGAGGAGGTTGCCCTCTGTGGTGCTGGAAGCACCAAGCACCTTGATTCAGTTGTTGGTACCCTTGAGGATGGACGCTGAAGGTCAGTTTGGGTTGAAAGTGACAGTGTGACAGTCTTGATGACAGCTACGAGCCACGATTGTTGCCTCAACGGGCAGTCTCCTGTCAGGTCTTGGGTTTTGCGGGCGGAGTCAGCATTGCGGGGATTGCAGGGACCTCGGAAGCACCGCGGGAGGTCTTCATGGAACGCGAGGCTGTATAAAGGAAAACAATGGAACACATATAGAGGCCCCCAAATAGATCGACGCAACTTCGACTGAATTTGTAGAGGGGACTTGCCATTTCTGTCTTTTTTGGGATGGTCAGTATACATCCAGGCACAAGATTGCTACAAACCTGGATGGATATTGTCCTGCGGTGTGCTATGCTCTTATACCAGTTGTGGGCACCAAAGAAGCCGTGGCTGAACATTTATCCGCCCGACTGGTGACTGCCATCGAGAGCACTGGACAACCCCCGCCATGTGTGCATGTCTACGAGTCTACTTCTTTTACATGCTCACTTCTGCAATCCAATGGCAATCAGATGGCCCAGTTTCTCCGCATGAAAAGGTCAATACCTGGCACTTGGAGAACTTTGCAGCGCTGGGCTTGAGAGGTGGGCGTCAGGTCACATTCTTCCACGTCACTCTCCCCGAAGTGATGTCACCTGATGGGAACCCCTCAGGTCTTCCAAGCAGTCGGGGCGCCCGCGCCGAATCGCCCTGCGAATCGCCCTCCGCCCTCCTCGCTGGGGGCGCCTGCAGGAACTTCGATGGGGCTGTGCGTGCTCTTGTGTTGGGAGCAAGCGACCCGCAACACATCATGCTGCAAGTGTGTGAGGCCGCGTGGCGGAGACGAAAATACGGATGGAGCAGGTGCAGGTGCATGGCCAAAAGAAAGTCTTTCAAGAGAATGGAAGATGAACATCTCCACATAGACTAGTGACTAGTTTGTGAACGGATTTTGAGAGACAGGCAGCTGGTCAAGCCGAAGAAAGAACATTATTCCTTTCCATTTTTGTAATTGTTTGTACCTTCTGCGTTTAGGGCATCATCACAGATTGCCAGACAATTACTCAGTTTCGTGCTAGGAGTTGGTTTCAGTTTGCTTGTTAGCCATACTCGCCGCCCAAGACAACGGTAGAACTAGGACAGTCCGATCTCTTTTTTGAGCCGTGTGGCTGTGTCTGTTATGCAGAAAGCCAGCGCCGTGTGGCGGAACCATCCCATCGGTCACCCTGTCGCAACGGCGGAGTAGGTGTTCTTTCACCCACCGTTGCGTGTACACTCCGTGGACTTTTTCCCTTAAACGCTGCAGCCCCTTGACTTTTCACCTGGGAAACACCGGGTGAACTCCGAATGCCGAGTTCACGGCACACCTCAGGCTGATGTTTCCAGCCTTGGATTATTGGGTGGCGCGAGGCTTTCTGCATCTCTTCATTGCCCTCCAGATGGAGGGCACCAGCAACGACGGCATGGACGATCCTTGGATGACAGAGATGACCCCAGAGACGGCAGAGCAAAAACCATTCTTTGGTTGAGAGACCCAAGCCTAGAATTTTCCACCCTTTTGAAAGGACTATGCACAATTCTCAGTTCCCAGCACAACCCAACAGCCTTTTCAAAACTCCTTCTACAAGCCATTTGTGATTTGTCACAAGCGGGTCCGTGACCCCCCGTTCATCGCTCTTTTTTAGTGAAGGTACTCACTTGAGAAAAGCCTGCGGGTCCAGTCCAGTCTCCGGGTGATAAAACTGAAACTCAAGTCAGACATGAGACACGGGAATTTTGGTTTTAGGGTGAATTCATCCACCAGCCGTGCCACATGTGCCACCCGAGCACATCGTGTGGAAAACTGGTGTTTGGAGCAATCGGTGCATCTGTGTTTCCTTCTGGACATCGGACCATCCGCTAACCACGTGGCATCCCCAAAAAGCGTGGAACTTCACGGAATCACAACCTCTTTGGGGATGCCACGTGGTCCACTCACACCGGGTCCACTCCCCAACCCATCGGTGTTGGTCGTCCGGAACCGGCTGTCTCAGTCGGCCACGCGGGACCTGACGCGGATCGCCTCGGTGGCCTTGGTCTTCGTGGGGGGCTTCTTCATCGCGGGCGCCTTCTTGCGCCTGGGCGGAACGGGGCGGAAGGGGGAGGGAGGATGGAGGAGGATGGAGGAAATCGAAGGAGGATGGGAGGCGGATGGAGGTTTGTTTGTTTTTGGGTAGTTTCTTTACTTGGAGAAAGAGACTCTATTTCGGGGTGGCAAGTTGGAGAGAAAGATTAAAGATTTGAGGATATAGAATCTGAAAGGAGGACAATGGAAGGGGTGTGAAATGGGGGCTCCTCATGTTTCTTTTGCCATGTGGGTGTGTTGGAACAAGGAGACCCTAACACCCAGCCAAGGGTGTTTGAGCTGGTCATTTCATCGATGCGTCCGGAACCCCCGCGTTTCCTCCCGCGATGCCTGTGGATCGCCCGTGGATGTGGAAGGCTTTCATGGTGCATCAGGAAGTATTGTTGAACGCCTCTGGAAGCACCTGGACAGTCCACCACATCGTTCCTTCGGAGGACCCGAGCATGTTGGCTCAGGTCACTGAGCACTGAGCACTTGGACCGTTTCCAACCCGTGGCCGTTCGGTCCCGTTGAGTCTAGGCATGTGAGAGAAACTGGTGGTCAGCTGGGGGACCCTTTTCTTTCCATTTGCAACTCCCTCAAAATAGAGTATCATTCTTTATCTCTCTATATACATACATATACAGTATATATATATATATTCTTTTTTTTTTTTTTTGCACATCCTCTTTTTCTCGTCCGTTACGCTCCGTTGGCCAGCTTCAGGATCTCTCTTCTCTTCCAACGTGTTTTGGACTGTTTGAGCTGTTCAGTGCCTCGGTCGCCTCGGGAGGTGCTTTGGGCCGCTGGAACGACGACAGCAGCGGCTCGCGGTGAGAAAAGAGGAGATTGGCAGGGGCACCGGAGGGTCACCGGAGGGTGCCAGATAGGCAATGCGATGTCCGAAGGGCGGAGGGATTCGGATTTCAACACAAGCTGCCAAAAGGGGTGCCATTCCGGCCCAAATGACGCCATCTCGAAACAACAGCCAGGCAATGTACCCTCAAAAACAAAAGGAGGATGGAGGACAATCTGCTCATTGGGGCATACCGTACGCCCGTATTTCCAGTTTTGGGATTGTTGCCTCAAACCCTCCTTGTTTTTGCCTAGGGACTGAAAACCGGACCCACTTTTCTGACATTTTTGGACTCCACGATGCTTGGTCATGTCATCACATGGCGTTCGGTGGGGGTGGGGGGGTGGGGTGAGGATCAAATTCCCCGCAGTTGAGCGTGTAATACACAGTATCCCTGGGTTCAACTCACAGTCCAACAAGGTTCACAAGAGCGAGTGAGCGAAGGCGATCGAGCAGCTGTTTCCACACTCACATTCCTTGAGCCAAATGTTATGGCATGCCAATGCATTGCGTAAGAGCATGTTGCAAGACACTGTAACCAAGTTGAAGCAATAGCATAAGCGGGGGCCCAAGAACAGAAAACATGGGGGGGGGGCGTTGTAATTTCGTTCTTGCTTTCACATACGTCTCATGAGCATGAAGGCTCAAGACGTAGCCACGGTGTGTGCTTTAGTTTTGTTGTGTCGGTTGTCGGGTGTTCCTTGTCCTCCTCGTTTTTGTGTTTTCTGGTGTGTCAACCCTTTTTCTTTAGACCAGTACGTAGACGGCTTAACTCGTGACTGTTCTGACCCTTTAGTTTCTTTTGTTCACGAAACAGTTTTGGGTTCAGATCGTGGCTGGGTAACAGGTGTTAGAAACTCGTCTTTCGTTGTTCGCACCTTGGTGCAATGTGTGGTTGAGGTTTTCTTTTTCGAAAGAACAGAAACTAACTCCTTTTCTGTTGGCGACTGTTGGTGTTGAGTTGGCGTTTGTTGCGTAGTTGTAGCAGCTGCATGTCGGATGGGTGCGCCGCCGCTGATTTGCTCGACAATGGCATCGATGAAAAAGACTTGCACTCGGAGCCTGACTGGGGACAGCTAGTTGCACAAAAAGCAGGCAACTTGAGGTGTCACGGAAAAACTTTATATTTAGGCAAAGCGCATGACAAAGCACTGCGTTTACCAATGAATTTGACATGAGAACCTGCAAAATAGGGTACGGTTTCCAATCCGTACGGTTGTTTTTGTCCAGTTGCTCTTGTGGTTGACTGGACCAAAGGTGAACATCTCCGAGTTAAGGTAGCATACCACCCCAAAAGAACAAGATATATAGGATGTTGATGTACATATGTATGTATGTATGTATATATATATATATATATATCTTTCGTTACTCCCCTCAGGAGGTGATGAAGGAGCTTTCTGAATTGGACAAAAGGAAGAAAGCTTTGGAAAGCGAAGCAGGGCTGTGAAAAGAACCAGCAGCTGTTTGCCGCTTTCTGCAGCAGTGCGAGGGCTGTCTCTTTGGAGTGGGCGGAGCCGCAGGGTGCAATCCCAGGGCTTTTTGCAAGACCCAAACCACATTGTAGCAGCCAAAAATGGACCCCAAAAAACACATGCGTTGCTCAGGAACTTTTAGTTTTTAGTTCAAACCACGCGTGAGCCTCGTGACGATACCCAAGCTTCTATATATATATATATAGATTCTATAAATATAGATATCGATATAGATATATCCTTACATCACCAAAAGTGATGGAAAGAACTTGGGAAAAAACGCATTTGGCATCTCACCAGCTTTGACATTGGCATTTGGGTCATTTGGGTCGATCCTCGCGGTTCAGCTTGCCATCGGTCCGGTGTGGCTCTAGCTCCCCTCTGGCGGCCATCGGTCCGTGCCGGGAGCAGGCGAGGGGGGATCAAGGGGCGATGAGTTTCGCGCGATCACGGAGATGCACTAGTAACAAGAAACAAGAAGAAACTCCTCGGAACAAAGGGCATCGTTACTAGGAGCAAGGACGCTACTAGGGGTGCTCCTGGCATTATTACTATAAACAAGAAACTACTAGTGCTTCCCTGCAAGATTTGTGGCTGTGTCACATGGTTCATTTGACGGTCTCCCCAGTCGTTCGGAGCAAACCTGTGGCCCCCGCCACACGCTGAAAGGACGAATCCACCGGGTTTTGAGACTGTGTGCAGGTTGAATGAAGCACCCTTGAGAGGGGCCGAACGTGCGAATCTCAGCATCTCCAAGTCGAAGTGCCTCCCGCAACGAGCCTCAAAATCATTCTACACACATATACATTGTGTGCCATTTAAAAGAGAGAGAGAGAGAGAGAGCCGTTTCTTGGTTTGGTTGAATGTCTTCTTGGCTCCACTGTGTTCACTCAAGCGGCATCTGGTTCTCGCCAAATGTGAGCGGTTTCAGCCAGAGGTCGACAATGCAGAGTCTCATCATGGAGCTGGGGCCTCATAGAAATGCTGGTGTGTTGCAAACCCAAATAAAGGGAACATCACAAAGGGGTTTGTGTTTATGTCGATTTCATCCCTGTGGTAGGGAGTCCCTTGCCTTTTCAAACAGAGTCCAGGTTGTGGATGACCAGTTTCAATGTTCAGAGCCCAAAAGCTGGGCTTTTTCCACCGGGACAAGATCCGAGGCCGGAGCCGAAACCCCAACGCATGGAGCCACTGAAGTTTTTGCCGGTGGTTTTTATGTGTGGTGGCCCAGCGGAGCAGATTCTTGAGATGGACAAGAGCAACACCAGCTGCTCCTATTCCAGGGTTGCACACCTTGGATGTGTCTTTGGTTCAAACACCTTTGTGGCTTGTGCCACGGAGAACGGCGAACTCAGGTTCGCCACCATCCTATTCCTGTATCTTGGCGCAATGCGGTTCACAAAAGTCGCGGGTAAATGTACCCATTGCTGGCAGGACAAAGTGGAAGTTTCGGTGCTTGGGTAGTTTCCAATGATCAGATGAGTGTAGGAGCCCTGCGAGTTTTGGGAAGACACCAGTATGTTAAATGCATACGGATACGCCTCTTTGTTCACTGTTGTTTGATGGAACGTGCCATGCCAGCAAGCAGCAGAGACTTTCCGAGTTGTGCAAGCAAGTTACAAGCTGCCTGGGGTTGTAGCAATGAGCCACAGGTTTGGGATGGCAAAGTGTCCCTCTTTTTGAACCCGACGAGCATTTCAAGTGGTTGGAATATGTTTGAGTTCCTTGGAACTTTTGACAACCTTGAGATATGACTTCCTGCCTTGGGCTTCATTCCAAAATGAATGTTTTGCTTGTTTACAGCGACCAAGGACTCGTTTTGAATTGGCGAAGTTTGTTTCAAGTTGGACTTCCTGGCTCATCCAGAAATAGGTTGCAGGGCCGACGCAGACTACTGACTGTTGAGCCTTTCCCGCTTCTTTTGTGGCAGGTATGTGGCCTATGTAGTGCAGCACTGCGCCCTCGACTCAGAAGGGGTTGCAAAGTAGCCTGAAGAAATGTGCCATGTAGCGTGCAAAGTTGGCTCTCGAGCCATCAATTGCACAATGCAGAGACATCTCAAATGCACTGCCAACCTGTTGGTGACCATCAGAGCCATTGTCATTGTCTGTCTGCCTTTTGTCCAAAACAACCGCGCGATTAACGCGAGCTCGCCCAGATTCCCCGCCTCCAACTGGATGTGGACCCGAAGCTGGTGGACAAGGACATTAGGCTGATGTCCCGAAAGGGGTCCGATTCCACACGCTACACGAGGATACGAGACGCTCCAGAAGGAGTAAAACACAACTTGCTCGTCTGAAGGCGACCGGTTCATAAGAGTTCTACCTTTCTTCCTCATTTGTTTCTTCATCCCGTACTCTTCCCTACTGGGATACCCTTAGAACTGGCAGGGCCACAGCCGTCTGCTCACCTCCTTTGCCAGGGCCCGCGGGCAGTTGGAGTTGACGGTCTTCCATTGGGTGACCGCAGGGGTTCCGAGAGATGGGCGGAGAGACGGCGCGCGGCATGGGCGAGCTCGCAACGCGGTCGGCGAGGTCGTGGCGGTTGGAGGCACCTGAAACTGAAGTGCCAGGAGCCCCTAGTAACCCTAGTAGAGCTTGTTCCTAGTAGCGTCCTCTACCCCCTGTCCTAGGTTGGATTTCTCATCCGAACTGGTTGGTGCGAACTGGGGTTGATGAGTTTTCCTTCCAGACTCAGTTCCGCACCTGCCCTGATGACGTTCGCCGGGCTTCCCGGTTCCTGCTGACTTTCCTCTCCAGGCTCTGATGACGGTCTGCTACGTCCGTGCGATGTTCACCAGCCCGGGCACGATTCCTTCGGATGACAAGTACCGTCCTTGGGCCCTGGGCGGCGAGGCCTTGCAGCGTCAGTTGTGGCTGTTGAGGGTGGGTGGCTGAGGGCAGCGATTTCGAAACGGTGAGTAGCGAGCTACCTGTACTGAGGAACTGGGAGTATCAGGAGGACCGAGGAGCTGGGAAGGTCAGTTTAGGTTCAGACTGCCAGACACTAGAAGGACTATGATGATGATTATGATGATGATGGTGGTGATGATGATGATGATGGTGGTTGAAATTGTTTGGAATTATATATCTATATAGAGATAAAGGCTTTGTAACAAAAGGTGACTCCCGAGCACAGTTTTGTCTTGTGAGGACTACTTCAGCTTCCTGCCTAGCTTTCTCAAAGAGACGTAGCTTGGCAGAGATATTCTCGGATGATCTGGAATCTAAATCTAGATGTTGTTCGATTACCAACACTGCTCAGGAAGAGGAGTGGAGACAGGCGGCACTGCAAGTGGTGCAGCAAGTTTAAGCTTGGATCCCAGTTTGCCACTTGCTGAACAACTCTTTAAAAATTCATCTTGCTTCATCCAGGATTGGTTCACTACTCTGGTCTGGCCGATGTTTTGATCATTGCTCAAATGATCCATCAAAGGACATTAACCTCAATTCTTGGAATTTGTTTTGTGGAGGATGCAGACACCAAGTTGATAGGGTTTGCAAGATCTTCTTGGCATTTGTTTTGAGCAAAAGCATGTGGCTATTACCTCGACGGTAAATTCGGACACTCAGGCAATGAAGAGACCCCAGAACTACTGTCACCAGATGTTGGTAGGGTAGGTGTCAGTCAGTCGCTTTTTTTCACTATAAGCTGTCAGCCACAGTGGCATGATCTTTCATGGTTTCATGGCTTTCTATTGACAACCACTCCTTCTGGCTGCTTGTCAGAGACTTCTCGCGGCGTTTGAGACCGGGGTTGACTCACACTAGCCCAGTGGCTCCTCGGACTCTCGCCGCCTCTTTTCAAGGCCTGATCGCACTCACCATTGCCGCGTTTGTAGACAATGCACTCTGAAGATGGAGCACTGGGCATGGGGTTCCTGAGGGCGAGAACGCGTTGGCACGTCAACTTGATGTATCACGTGAAAGGGTGCTGTGGTGTCGTTCGGCATTCTTTTCTCTGAAAGAGTGACAGTGCTACTATGACGTGCAAGCCGGGATCCAACTCCAAACGAAGCTTGTAACATCTTGTAACCACCTATTTTCCCTGCCAAACTGGCCATGATACCATTTTCGCTCAAAAGAGCTGTGATGGTGAAAAACAGATGCTCTATGCTCGATGCTTCCTTTGTTTTCGGTCTTTGTTTCGATCGGGCGACCAGGACCACCACTGCCCGTGGATTTACAACTGCGTGCGGTGACCCGGTCGGACGGTACGTGGCTCATCCTGGAGCGAAGAACAGGCGCTGTTCTTGTGGAGCACCCGTTTCGAAGGTGTTTGTTCTTGTTCCTTTTTTTGGTGGTGGTGGTGGTGGTTCTGGAGGGTTTATATGTAGTAAGTTTAGTTCGTACAATGTTCCTACCTCCTGAAGAGCTGGGTGCTCAGCCCGTGGGGAGAACGAGTACGTCGGACCGTGTGCGCGTTGGATGGATCCAATGTCTCCCAAAGACTGGGCGTCTCCTCCAGACTGGACATACCCGGACCGCGGTGTGAGGTGGGATACTTCAACTACAAGTGACCTGGCATGACATCGGAAGCCCGACCGAGTGCCTGGTGTTTCGGTCGGCGGCCCGTCAACGCGCCACATGACAGATCTTTTTCCCGTGAAGAGTCATAGCGACTATGCGGCCAGAGGCAATTGGGGCACTTTGCGCATAGCATCCATGTTTGCAATGGGACACCTCGAACCGCCGGTTTTGGAGAAGCACAACGTTTCAGTAGGGAGTTCTGTTGAAATTTTTGTCTTGATCTGAACCGCGGAGAGCGGGAGATGGCCAAGTGAGGGCCACGGCGCCGATGGACGGCACGGCCCTTCGTTTTTCTGCAGACACGGCGCACATCGCGCCGAGTGCCGAGGTGGTTCTTCCTTCTGCTTTTCTACTGCATGATCAATCTGCATTTGATCACATGGACGATGGCCACTTGGGATGGCCACATGGGGCCAGAAGGGTGAAGCCATCGCCGAGTCGAAACCGGGAGTCTTCCCATGTGTGAGACCTTTGGAACTGTGGCCCCGTTGGTGAATGCGTGAAGGATGCTTCAATACGCTCTATGGCAGTCAATCCAAGGGCTCAGCTGGTGGAGCATGCATGGTATTGTCCCAATTTTGTGGGAAGGGGAGAGAGGAGAGGAGAGGGGAGGCAGATATCCTCAAGCCAAAGTAGAGGTTACGTCCTTTTTCGAGATTCATATCTCAATCCGTTCTGCCGTGGTTGATGAAGATCCACTGCCGGAAGGATGTTGAAGGTCCGTTGGAAGATGCTCCCGAAACTGGCTTGAACGTTCCCCTGGTATGTTAGTGTTCCATTCTCAGATGTGCTGCACATGTTTCAAGCTGACCCCTTGCTGGTCCTCAACAGCAAACCCGCCAGCGAAAAAGATCATCCGCCGAGTGTCACAGGTCCATCGCACCAACGGGGCGATCGTCCTCCCCCCGCCCGATTCAGGTCGAGACTGTCTGGCGAGTTGTCGAAGTTCCAACTCCACTGTTTGCCATGCCACTCGGTCCCAACTGTCAGCGGTCGCGACGTTGCGGGGCACCGAGTGTTCCAGGTCGACCATGCGTCCGACGACGCGCGGAGTTCGGCACGCGGAACTGAACAGATCGTGTTGGGGTGCACCAGTGACGCCAGTAACGGGTTAATGGAGAGAGATGTTCGGAATTCTTCAGGGGAATCATCTCAAGTCTTTGGAATCGAGGTGGGGTTGTGTTTCCTTCGCAGTCCGTCCTTCCAAGAATACCACAAAGAGGGCTGCGGAAGTCTCTCTTCATGGGGCTGGATCACCCAGTCCAGTGCTCTAACGAAGAAGGGGCTCTTTTCGAAGGACACGACGAGAGTGCTCGCTGCTGCTCCGCTGCTTCTTTCTTCGACTCCTCGTCGTCTCGACCAAAGGTTCATCGTCTTCTTCACTGAGACGTTGGCGGCGTTCATGACGCTTTTGGACACTGGGATTGACTGGGGATGGGCCGGGGGGTGTCCAAAGGCGATGTCGGGTATTACCCTGTGGCCTGTTGGGGCCATGAACCTTTTTCTTGTCCACAAGTCTTCGAAGGTAGATGCCTAAAAATTGGGAGGTTGATATCTGAGCGAACATGTGTGTTCCGTTTGGAGTGACATGGATCTTTGTCAACACAGGGTTGATTCTTTCCATTTCTTTCAGGTCTTTCTATTTTCTCCTTCTGAGTAGTTTGCAAAGAAGTAAGGGACCGCCATCAATGGTCAAATCCGAACTGCTTTGTTCCGAACAGATCAATCCGCTCGCCGGGTGCGCCGGGTGGAGTTCACGGAGTTCCTCGCATGTCCAGTCGGCTGCGCAGCTGAGATGTGCCGAGTCGGCCGAGTCAGCGGTGGAGTCAGCTGGTTCGTCCGTCTTTTGCACGGTTTTGATGTTCACGGTCAGACACACTCAAGATCTGACAGATCTGACACTACTGGCACTGGGTGTCCTCCTTTGGGTTCGGACCATCGGAGATAGCAGGTGAACCACTTGATAGCCGAGTCTTGCACCCCTATCTGGAGCAGGTGACGCTCTTCTTTTTCTTCCACTGCTACCTGGTGGTCAACGTCGCTTGGCAAAACAAGATCCCTAGGCCCTAGAGATGCCTAGAGATTCGGTGATTGCAATGGCGAAGCAACATGAGTTGCTCAAGATCTTAAACGGATTCTTCTATCCCTCTGCCCTCTGCTGGCTTTCGACACTTTTGGATGGTGGGCTCCAGGGACCGTCACGGTGATGCCTTGAACCCCCCGACCTCCGAAGACTTCGTGGCTCTTCTCCCGACCTCCGGCCTCCGTCGACAGGGGATGAGCACCATTGAGTTCTGCGTGGGGCCCAGGACGGATGGCGGACCGGTGAATCCGAACCGGAGACCCGGGCGGACGTCTCCGGTGTTTGTCCGGCTTTTCTCCGAAGATCCACCACAGGCCGAACACAACCCCCTGCGGGTGAAGTGAGTTATATATATATATATCACTATATGTATATAGGTATTCTTATATAATTGAAGTTCTTGCATGCCAGAAGCTCTGGCATGTCAGGATGAGATGGGTGTCTCAGCTTTCTTCGATTCCTCCTTCAAGGGCTGTGTTCTTTTTTTTTCTCCCTCGCACCGGGATCAGCAGATGCACCTGGGATCACCATCATGTACAGACCCAGAAAGCAATTATATATAGGCAACATCATGGCGGCTAATATATGAATATACATGTATCAGCAGATCCGGTCTTGCACTTAGACCTATCGAGACAGGGGTGCGCACAGCGCGCCAGGACGCACGTCAGGACATCAGGTCGGTCAGGTATCACGTTCAGGACATCCAGTGGGTTGGGCTGGTCGGTCAGTTATCACCGTTTCGCCTTTTGGACGGTGTTTCGCCGTTCGCAGATACAGTGTTTCCACCCTGGAAGGGACCCAATCACTGTATACACAGCCCGAATGTCCATTGATCCGAGTTTGTTCTCAACAAAGGCCAGCTGCCTTGATGGGCTGTCTTGATGCCTGTGATGACATGAGGTGAAAAGGTGATGCCCAAGGGAGAGGTCAACGAGATTCCAGAGAATGTGTGCGCTGGAGGATGTCGTTCACAGGTTGAAGGCTGTGGAGTTAAGGCTATGGGCCAACAAAAAGGGAACGAGAGTCTGAGCGGCTTGCTATCTCGACACACTCCTATTGGGACCTTGTTTTGAGTTTTGATTGGCTGCAAGAATTGCCGAAGATTGCGAGAGCCAATTGCTACTTCTGAATACATCTCAAACTCATGTGCAGCAACAGAATGCCCTGTGTCAAAAACACTCCAGACAGCGTACGCTCTCACAATTCTTTTTTTGTTGTTTCCAAGGTGTCGATTTTCCCACCTCCAGCTTCAGACCGGACACCCTGCCGCCTCCAGGTATGACCTCGGCCTCTATGGCAACATCTCAGCGGTCTTGGGCGACAAGGCACGGTCAGGGGTGCCGGACCAGCGGCACCTCTTTGGCACTCGGATTTCATGGTCACACTCACAGGGCGACGCCATCCACGCCATGAAACCAGGCAGTGCAGCGGGACGGAACCGGTGGAATGTGAGCATTTCGATGGGACAAGGGGCCCACAAGGGACCAAGATCCTCAGCAGATTGCAGTGGTCGCCGTGGGGTGCAATGCCAACCCCACAAAACCGACCGGTTTTGCAAGTTCTTGGGTTGAGACATCTTCAACACTTAATCATTTATCTTGAAGCTATTGCACGTTGAAGATGCTTAAATCTTTCAAAGGTCGGGGGCTGAAGTTCCCTGAGCTGCGCGAGCTCAAGATTTTCACTATAGAAGACTGAAAACATTTGTTGCCAAAGCTCAATCTTCACTGGTTGTGTACCCCAGACCCTCGGTGCAGTGGGCATCATCGCGCGCAAAGTTGTGGGTAGTTGTTTTCAGGCACCCCATGCGGAGCACGGTGTATTCCGCATGGACCTAGAGCAATCAAGAAGCAGATGCATTTGCTGACGTCGTGACATGTAGTTTGTCGCTGCAGAGATCCCGATCGGCGTGTGGCAGAGCCTTTGGACTACTTTTGCTTGGCCTTTGCCATTTCATACAGTTGAAGACATGCATTGATCACTCTCAGAACAGCGTGAGGTGAGCCCAATGGATGCAACTTTACAGACACCTCATATCACCGTGGAGCAATTGGAGGTTGCCATGGTGTCTTCATACTCAATGTGGAATGACGCCCTGCATGAAACCTGATCGTTTTTGTGGCAGTTGCATTGGCATAGCCAGATGAAGATCAGTCGTCGGATTCACAAAAAAAGCAACGGACTGAGCGAGTTGTACACAGATCCAAAGCCTCAGATCCAAACCACTCAAAGTGAGGCGTGGACTGATCCAAACCACTTAAAGAATTGAACCCCAAATCCAAAGGCCTCAGATCTGCTCTCATTTTGTCAGCATTGAACTGATTCATCACGCATGAAGTATGAGGTTCTTCGTGTTTGCGTCTTCTTGTTTCTCCGCTATACAGGAATCATCAACCCTGTAGACAGCGCAAAAGCAACGTAGATTTCCAAGAGGCGCGGTGCATCACCGTCTCCTTCGTTTCGCCACCCTCGTTTCAGGCCCAAACCCGAGAACGCATTTCCATTCCCACCTGGGAAGCGCCGGAATCGCCCGTCCGGGTGAAGTCGAAGGAAGAGATGAGAAGCGTACGTGCCCGCTGTGCCCGTCAAAAGAACTGCAACATCTGGTTCCCCACCAGAAGGAGCTTCGTCAGATTTGTTTGCACTCATCGGCTTGCCAGTAGAATCAACCGATCAACTCAGATTTGATGAAACTCAAACACGAGGGCGGCCTATTGTTTGCGAGCATTATACATATTTTACATATATATATATAAATAGCTTTGTGCGTTCTTGCCAAAGCCCTTTGTGCTCGACCCGGATAACCGTTCTAGCTTCAAGATCAACACAAGACTCAGTTCCACGTTCCCAGCCATTGAATCCGAGGGTGTTCCATTTGGTGTCCAGAAACAGGGAGCCCTATGACGACTAGGGAGACCCTTTGGCGCAATGGCTTGGTCTAGGACTGGTGTCCAAGACTTTAATACAACCGACACTACTAGGAACAAAGGGCATCGCTACGAACGGAGCGTTCGGACGCTACGAACGGGCCTAGGGGCGCTCCTGGCCTTACTAGGAACAAGGACGCTACGAACGGAGCAAGCAGAAATGCCCTGATCTTCCAGTTTCAGAGGCTCTCCTGTGGTTGCTTCCCGTGAATGGGCCTCCGGGCGATGGACAGGGGCGCCCAGAGTGAACGAGGAGAAGGACAGGAGTGCGTCTGGATGGGGTGAACACAACGAGGCATATTATCCAGAGAGTCTCAGATACTTGGGTACAAAGGTAGTTGGCGACCACGCAATTGGATGTTAAGATTCTTTGATATTGAGATAGACCTATCTACCTCATGATAGTAATTCTGACATCAAAGTTTTGCCAAGATTCCAACAATGGTGTCTCCAATTTGGAGAGCCCCTACCCGAAGATCCATATCTCGCGCTTTTGGATGATTTTATGTAAAAAGCAATCCATGGTTGCAATATTTGACATGTTCCAAATGTAGTGGTATGCATTGATGTATTGCTGGTTAAGAATCTGGATGATTGGACTTGATTCTTATCTAGCAACAGATCCTACAATAGAAATCAACGGTTGATGGTGGATATCCAGTGCAAAACTTTATGAAAGGGACCCCTTTCTATTAATTGTAGTTCATTTGACAAAGGGCCGTACTCCAAACCTCCGGATCAAGACATTGGAACTGACATGTGAGGCTGACGGGAAGTCAACGTTTGCATTCTCCTAGTTGTTCCGAGGGTTCTTGCACAAGGTTCATGGTCTTCCAGCCTGCCTCCCCATCCCTTCTGTCTCAGTCTTGGCGTTTCGGTGTTCCATTCCTGTGAAGGCCGTGAATCCACCGAAAGCAGCATGGACACCGAAGCGGAAGCGTGCACCGATCGCGTCCACCGATCCCGCTTCGGCGGACGCCCGCTTCGGCGTTGTCGGGTCGTTTTTGGCCTCCAAGGCTTGACCTTTCTTTCGGCCACCGAGAAAGTGGCCTATGATGACTTGGAGGCCGAGCCGTTGCCACGACTCGCAACTGGGTGTTGGACGCCCGGTGCCGGTGGTGCCAAGCACGTCGAAGACGTCTAGAGCGGACTCCAAAGGTGGAAACAAGATGGATGCTTTTGGACTTCAAATGTCGCTGGTGGTGAATTGTTGGTCCTGGCAAACTGGTAGATGCGGTGTTTCCAATGTAGGGAACAATTCAAACACCCTTGTGAAAGGGAAGATAGATGGGAAACCAAAATGAATCGTTTCAAAATTTGTCTTCGGAGTTGGTCTACACCAAGTTTCGGAGTTGGTGGCCCAATCCTCGGATTCTCGGCTTGTTCGGTTGATGGGGGGGAATCCCGGCATTCCGGCTTGTGAGACGGCCAATCGCTTGGACATCCACATCCAGAGGGAGGTTGATGCGTTACCTTCCACGATGAGAGGAGGTTCATGCACCCTTGTGAGAGTCCAGTATTATCATCAAGCAGTCTCTCAGAGGAGGGTCACAAGAGGTATGCTACAGTCTTTCGCCTTCACTGTCATGTCTGCATCTCGTGTGCATACATTATATATAGAGTGAGAAAAGGGCTGTACCCCTGGGCCACCTGGGTACAACCGGAAAAATAAGAAACCGACCTGGAAGACCAATCTGATCTCCTAGTCCTTCATTGCTGGGAGGGGGCCGAAGACGGTGCAACAGACCTTTGGTACTTTGGATCTCGTAGTGCTCAGGCAACGAAGACTGTGCTGCGAAAAGGCAACAAAGGGAGGCCGGGGAGATTGGGAGATTGATTTGTGACAAAGGCTAGGGGACTTTCCAACATGGACAGCATGTCTGCTTTGATGAGGCACTCATTCATCACCGGAAGGCCACGACAGGAACGTGGAATTTGTGGCGGTGCCGACGGGGAAGGTGTGTGCTGAGAGACGACTCAGAGACGACGGTCGACATGCGAGAAAAGGAGGCTTGGATCGGAGAAACGGAGGCTGAATGACGACCGTGGGGAATGACTAGGAGCTTCGCTCCCAATAGAGATTTATTTGGATCCAGCCACCCTCATTCATCTCATTCCCTACGAGTCGCACGATGACCAACTCAGACCTGTCGGGCCCAAGTGGTCCAGGACCTCCGTTGTAGACTCGCTGAGGTTCCCAATGTAGACTCGGGTGACTGGTGTGCTGTGAACAAGCCTGGACGGCGCTTGATGCGTCCATTCATACTAAAGGTGTCAATGGCATGGGTTCTCCGGATGGAACCAGGTTCCGGTTCCGGAACCATTTTCAGGGTCTAGAGTTCAGTGGAGATTTGTGGGAGGGAAAGGGACAACTTCATACAACTTTATGTGTTCAGTTACTTTAGTTATATAGTTGTATTGAAATATCATTCTTCAGCATTGACGCTGAACGAATGAAATGCAGGTGATGATACCCCTTGTATATTTGGTCTAGGCCATTTAAGCTATTTTGATAGTCATCAATTGGCACTTTGCCAAGTGTCGCGAGGATCACACTCCCACATCTAGCCAAAGTGGGCTTTAGACATGTTAATCCATGTTAAGTCCCAAGTTGTTGTGAATTTCATCCAACTCGGAATTCAGCGGCAAAGCAAGGATTCTTTGACCCTGTCGGGTTGCGAGAGGTTTGAAGTCTGGCTCTGAAGTGACATCGTGCAGGGAAATGCGAGACATGAGCGAGACATTTATTTTTACTGGCTTCCCACTTGTTCAACCTGATTTCTGTACAATGTGACCTCCAGTGCATCAGAGATCACTGTTTGCGGGGCACGAGAGATGTCGACTAATTAGAGCGCCGCACATCGGCACTGACTTGAGTTAAGCCTGAGCTGCTGACCTTGCAAATGAGGTCTAACTCCACCAAGCTTTTCTCTTCCTAGGTGGACACTGACCATGCCACTCTCATCAGCTTTCCTTCCCGTATCAAAAATCCTGCCGAGTTCCTGCACAGCCTCGCGGGTGGCGATGTCGCGATGTCGCGGCCGGTGATTTTCGAATATGACCCAGCGACGGGTCAGACGTTGGCCACCTCTTTGCCTGAGGAGAACTCCCCAAACGAAAGTCTCCGGGCTGGACAAAAACGACGGACGAACGTGACCAATGCACTTCTAAGGGATGCGGTCGTGTTCTTGAATTCACAGATAGTCAGTCTTCAATGTGTTTGTCAATATGACATCACATCGTCACGTTTGCGACGCACTCGCTCTTTCTATATCATATTGTGATATTGCGTTTGTATTCATATGTGTTTGTTGGCTTGTAAAGTCCTTTGCTTTACACAAAGAGCCATGGCCAACAACCCACCCCCAGCCATCAACCACTGCCACGCCACCTGTTCAGGGTTGACCATAGTTCACAGATTCAAACGAGCCGCAGGACCTTTTTCCTGTGTCCTTGGCGGACATCGCTGAAGATGGACCGTTGGAATCTGAGTTCCGTGGGCCTTGGCTGGGCTGCACGGGGTCCACATTTTTGTATCCCAAAGATCAAAGATCTGCAGAGGCCGGACTTTTGCAACGGTGGTGCAAGGGTGGTGCCTATTGATTTTTCACTCAGTTGGCCGCGCTTGGTCCGCTGGAAGCGAAGCGCTTGGTCCGCGGTCTGCATCAGAGACTGCAGGATCTTTTGAAGTAGACCAAGTGTGGAGTATGCCCATCCTCTACAGTAGTTGCCCCTCTACAGTAGTACACCTGCTTGCAAGCTTGCATCAATTTTCACTTCTCATTCTGCTTCCAAGGTCGGGTGTGATAGCGCTTGAGGCTGGTTTTCGATCACATTGCTCCCCAGAAGAATACAGGCCGTAACAGTTGCCAGAAGAACATTAACATGTTCCAAGAGTTCCAAAGCATTTGAAGTTGAGTTTATGATGTGGTTTACAGCTCACTTGTTTGCTCCTGTTTGGCGGGTTTGATCCCACACCGGTCCCACGTGGTTCTCGAGGACAGGCTTCTTGCGCGCACGCGCGCCCCGCAGGGAACCGGAACCGGGCTGGAGATCCTGAAACCGTGGCGGGGGGGGGTCATCCTCTATTCTTCTGTACTTACACATCGACTAGAGGGTCTACTTGTAGTAGTGCCTTGGTGAGAGGACCCATATGGAAGTCAGCCTTTGAGACCAACTCGTTCATGTTGCGACCAGCACGCCAAACGGGTTCACTCGTTCACTCGTTCATCATGTGCTCCAAACACACGAGCTGCTCAAGAACAGAAGAAGAACACATGTGCTTCATGGCTCAACCAGAGGCTTCACATCTCGCAACCTCCCCAACCTTGGGAGTTTGGTGGACAAACTTGGACGAACCGCACCCACTCGAAAAAGCACACACCGGTCACCGATGAAAATTGCCGGTGGATTGGACTCCGCGAAACAGTCTTTGACCCACTCACAACCGCGTCTCCAGGCCTCTGCTCCCTTGGAGCCGCAGCTGGGAGGCGGGATGAAGGATGGAAGATCGCAAGGAGTCTGGTGGAGGACTGGGGTGGAGCCTAGGGCCTAGGACGGGAGATTACTCGAAGGGGTTGACCAGAGGTGTTTCTTTTTCCAGCCATGAGACCTGGGGCCGGAGCTTTTCCTGCGCTTTTGTAGCCTTGAGCTAGAGATCTTGTCAATGGTGTGGTACTGATAAAACGCCCTTCTGCCAGGTGGCCTGGTCCATTTTTCCTGAAACTTTGGTGGCTTTTGCTGGCAAAGGTGCTATGTCACTGATTTCCGAGGTTGCAGGCGCTTGTGCAGGGACCAACAGGGCGGTGTCCCCAATCCGAACTCCCCAGGCACCATGTACGGACGCACCCCCGGTGGGGCCAACTGTGCGTGCCAGGGAAGTTGTGGCTCAAGAGAAGTGAGTTGCCAAGGGGAGTTCTTCCCCCATGCCGGTCCCTGATGGGCCCACAGAGGGGATTTTTGCCAAGATCTTCTTTGCATGGATCATCTTGGCGGTGATTTTCTATGTTTGGTCCTACGTGCGCGACGGGAAGTTCATTGGAGAAGACAGCTGGGACTCCGAACCCATCGATTCCGCAGATGATCCCAAGAAGGACTGATGCAGACTGGGCGGACGTTCCGCCAGCACGCCTCTGCAGACGTTCCGCCTCTGCAGCCAGGCTGGTCCGAGGAGGTCATTGACCAGCGCGTTCTGCCGTTGTCGGTTGTCGGCGCGTTCGGTCGTTGTGGGCGAGGAAGTGACGACTGAGGACTGCAGCACCGATGCGGGCGCATGTCATGCTGCCATGCGGGAGGTGGAATCTGCTCAGCCATGAACTGGTTGATGTGGACGATATGTCCTACTCGGCGCTGAATTGGTGTGCCCCAAAGTGGGCAGCTGTACAACAAAGCCGCGCGATCAATATCCATGTTGTGCGGTCGGAAGTCACTGCGAGTGCAAAAGTAAATATGGTGGTGATTGCTGGTGTTTGTTTCTGTCACCGTCTGTCACGTCCATGTGAATCTGTCCATGAGTATGTTTTAGACGGCTATTTGATCACAATTTTTTAGATTGGCAAGGGGTCCGTGGAACACACTTCCCAACGCCAATGACCTCTTTTTCTAATCAAAGACCTAAGAACCCTCCATGATTTTCTGTTTGGCCTGCAGCTTGCCACGTTCTCCAAAGTCTTGGGGATCCTCCTGCTTCGCCTGAGATGTGGTGGATGTGGTTCGAAGTTTCCAAAGTCAAAAAGCAGCCGCAAGCTTGGATGTTCATTTTCCCAATGACCAGTGTGTTTGGATGGCACGTGATGCCACCCTGATGCCTTTCCAAGGCCAATGCCGCAAATGTAGACGGTTGTTGATATTTGTTGCAAAACACCCCTTTGTGGAGATGTAAGCCATGATGGCACTGTCCCTTTTTTGAGTTACTCAACAGTCTATGGTTTTCCTCTTCGCTTATCTTCGCTTCTTTGCCAGGTCCATGTGGCATCCTGGACCCGGTACCGCCGCCCCCGCCGCTGCCACCCCTTGAGCCCCGCGCGCCAAAGCCGCCCGCGCAGCTCAACCAGGCCGGCTCCCAGTGGAGGGAACAATGATGAAAGCTGAGCTGACACAAAGGCAGCAGAACTTCAGAACCTTGCAACCAAATGATCATGATGAACTGATGCCTTCCCTTCGTTGGCCACCAGAATCACCCCAATCATGCAAATAGACAACAAGATGAAATCAGAATAACCCACGGTGGATGAAAACACATCACGTTGCTGTGACTACCCAACGGGTCCAGTAATTGTCCTGTACACCAAATCGATCAAACAAGATGAAATGGAAACCAATGCTGCACTCCAGCCCCAAGTTTGGGCCCCCAACAGACGGGGAAAGAAGACAAAAATCTCCGCCCAAAGGCAAACCGTCGAAGGAAGAAGTGGGATTCCTCAGGAAGAAGTTAGAATCTGATGAAGCCGTCGAATGTAGACTCTGACTCAGTCGAATTAAAAGCCTCGAATTATATAATCAAGAGTCCTAAGGCATCCTAAGGCTAACCTGTCAGAATCTGATGGATCCCTCAGGTGGGCAAGGCCAAAGTTCGCCGGGCGGTGAAGCAGGCGACCAACCGTCGCCGGGACGCGTGCGTTGGTCGACGTGGAGAGAGGACGCGGCGGAGGATGACTGGACGTGGATCAGGTGGAAGCACTGGGCAGGTTGACTCCCGCGCAGACTCCGGTGCCGGTCCGTGACCATCTACCCATTCCAATGCCCGGTCGCGTGGCCTGCAATGCAGTTACCTTTGAAGATGTACTGCAGCCAATCTTTTTGCCGGGAGCTGTTGTCAGCACCGATCCCCAAGAGAACCAGATTCGACCCTAGAGGCTCCAGGAAGCTTCAAGTGGTTTAAACATGAACCGGAGGCTGTTGGCCATCGGCGCCCTTTGAATAGCTTTTGATCCTTGAAGATTCTTGAGGCAGCCTCGCTCGATGACTTAGTCCGGCGGCCCAGAAGGTGGCTTCTTTGCTGGAAGCGGGGGTCCGTTTTTGCAGAAATCTAGGAACCAAGGAAGTTCCGCCCTCCCTCCTTGAAGAAGCGTAGGCTATCCTGCGTCCAGTTGCTAGAAGCTTTAGTAGCTAGCAGTTCTTTTTTTGAAATTATTTTTTTTCGCAGGAGCGGACGAATAACACAACCAAAATAGATCTCTCTGCAGGGACTCATTGCAATGGAGCCATGCTATCCTTCGACCACCACCAAGTGGCCTTTACTAGCGAAAGACCCCGAAGAATGTGCGACCTCCCAACACGGAAAGACTGACGAGGAAGGCGAAAAAGACACCGAGCCAAATCCATCCTCTATTTAAACAACTTAATTTGGACATCGCTCGAAGGACATGCAAAAGAAATCCAGTGGTTCCAAAAGCACCGTGACTCCAATTGATACCCGAGAATTTAAGATGGACAAATGGCATTTTGGCTTTGGGATTCTGACCTCCGAGGAGTGGAGATCGTTTCGACGCCCTCGAATGGCCTCGTTTTGATGCTCGATCCGCAGATTCTGATCCTTGATGTTCTCGGCCACACGGCAACAGTCCTCCGGCCATCGAAAATAGCTAGAAACAAGAGTTGACAAGGAGTCAACTCCAGCTTCAAGCCATCTTTATCCCCTGGGTTCACCCCATGGGCCATTTTGCGCATCCGTGCGGTGATGCGTACCCATCGATGGGGTGACCGTCTGAAGTCCCGAGGCCGAGATCGAGCAAGCCTTGGACTCGGGTAGGACTGGCTGTCACTGGGTCCGGGTGGCAGAAGTGCTGTGGGTGACAGAAGTGATTGTGGATCTCGGAAGCGATCAATTTGTTCTTTTTTGAATCACAGACTGTAAAACCAAGGCTCCTGTGACACTCGTGGTTTTGGAATACCCTGGGACTTCAACAACAATCAATAATCAGATATATAATGATAATCATAATAATAACAATAATGATAACAGCAGTTAATAGTATATAATGATAATGATAACAACAATTAATATTCATGATAATGATAACTAGATTTCTTGATCTTGAAAGGAGCATATCAACATGTTGAAATTTCTGGTTGCCAGCCAATCTCAAACCTCTAGAAGATTGACCTGCGAGTGGTCGACGTGTGACCCCTCGCCATGAGGATTTCGGACGCTTTGGCTTCCCGGCTAAAGCTGGGCCCAGAGGATTTCGTGGCCAGGTGTGGAGCGAAGCGCTCTCCGGCGCTCTCCGGCGAAAGGATGGGGCGACTTCGGCGGTGTCACGTGTGACTGGTGTCCTCGGCATTGGTGTCCTCGGTTTCAGACCAGACATGCGGCCTTTTGGTGTCCAACTTAACACTCAAGATGTTCAAACCAAAACCTTTGCTCTCATTTCCACACGCCCATCAAGCAACTATGCCGACTCATTCGGGGGGCGAAAGGAACCGCTGCGGAAAGTAGTGACTGCAACTGCCAAGTCTAGACAAAAGTTCAATCAGTGCCAGTGAGATCACTGAGAGCCCAGTGTTTTTTTGGTTAGAAGCAGGGATGAAGGGGAACGTCTCTTGTTTTCTCCCGCACTGAAAGTATACCAATCCTCAGCCTGACGATCTTTTGCATTTGAGTATTGAAGCATCTGATGTTGGCTCTGCATCAACGCCTTCCTTCCATCGGGGGGGCCCGTTCGTGGGCCGAAGGGATCCTTTCGAGGTCAGAAGAACCTGCAGAGCTGCCCCTGGGAGCGTTTGGGACCCTTAGGAGCTGCCGGTTGAGCAAGACAGGGATCTTGGGAAGGAGGGTTGGACAGCTTCTAATTGTGGAGAAGTTCGGTCTGAGTGTTCAAACCAGAGGTCCTATGCCCATGTGGCGTCACCTCCAACCATTTCCATTTGCAGGTGCTGTAAAGAAAACAAGGAACGTCATCATGAATTCAGCGGCACCGGCGCTGTTGGGACGCAGATCGCTGCCCTTGGTGCTGCACGATTCCTGGGCCCTCCGTAAGTAAGGGAGTGCAGCATACCAACAGCCCACCGTGCCACACCCTCGAGGGGAAACCCAAACACCACCAGTGCTCCATTGATACAAACGAGCTTGGGGAAGCATCACAGCCTCGTTTTTCCGTCAGGTCAAGCAAGCCTCAAAGGTCATGTCATGCTAACCAGTGCTCCAAGATCGGCTGCCACTTGTGACTCCAGGAGCTGCGAGTGCACACACATGGGTACCCGTCGACCCACCTCAAACCACCACCACAACCTCATACAATCACCACAAACTGCAACTGCAAAGTGCAATCACCACTGGCAACTGCAAACATACTCCAACAAGAGCTGGCCTGCAACCAGTAAACATTACTCTCCGTCCCGTCACCACAAAAGGCACGCGTCCAGTCACCATGTGCCGTCACTGTGCGTTTCGCGCAGCCGAGGCAGGTCTTGACGCCTGGAGGCCTGGAGAAAGTTCGGACCTTCATCCAACATGTTCGGGGCTGAGCGACCGAAGCTTGCGACGGGTTTAGCGGGTGACCGAGGGTGAGAGGTTGTAAGCACCGACGGGTCGATGGAGCAGGGCACAAAGAAGCAGAGGTGAAAACGGCTGTAGAGATTTTTTGGTGAATCCAGGGTATATAACTAAACATATTTTGCACTCCATATGAGATAGGGCCCTTAAGGGTCCATGTTTCTTTGGCCGGTGGTCTTGAATGGGTTGAGGAGGGGACGACCCCACTTGGCGGTTCGAAACCTGGTTTTGCTCAATCCCGAAAGGTGCTCAAGTTTCCACCTGCTCCGGATCAGTTTCGCCTGAGGGCACACAGTTGCGGTCCAAAAAGAAGCGCAGCAACGCGCCGCGGGCCTTGGCAGCGGAATTTTGTGCCTCGATGAGGCCACCGACATGGAGAAGTTGGCAGAGGTCGACAAGGCCAGGCTTGGGTAGAGGACGCTACTAGGAGCAAAGGGCATCGCTACTAGGAGCAAGGACGCTACTAGGAGCAAGGGCCCCCCCAGACACTTCACGGAAGATCCCGCCAGCGACAGCCCGCCCCCAAAGATATGAGCAAGCTACTCTGATGCGGCGCAATGTTAATTCTTGCATTCAGCGGCGCTGAATGTTGCCCTGGTTGAGATACCTGCATACATAAGGGGGATGCACATGTGGGAGTTCGCCAGGGCTGGTGACCCAAGGACTGTCATGTCAACCGGAGGGTCGCGGATATAGGAATGTAGACTCCTGATTCATCAGCTTCCCTTCCAAACGAAGAGGCTTCACAATGAACATTTTGGGTTTATGCATCAAGCGTCTACATGGCCCCCCGTAACGTGGGGCCCAAGGGAATGCTTCCTCCTTGGCACGGGGAGTGCTGAGTCTGCTCTGAGGCATTGCAGGCGGGCGATGTGTATCGCCTGCAGGTGATGCTGAACCTCCAGCCGCAGGAGAGAGAAAAGGGCCGTCCAAGTGCATATTGGTCCCTGGTTATTGGAATTCTTGAAATATCTTTGAATTGGTTCTTCGTTCTTTTGACCATGACTAGATACTGTACAGTCCCTTTGAACATTACCTTTCTTTGTGTAGGGTCCACATGACATAAGTCTAGACAGTCTAGAGTCTGCATGAACTGTTCATGCCGTGGAAAGATGCAGTTGGTCTTGTATGGTTGGACTTCCTCCAACCAAAGGGTTGTCAGCCCATGGCACGCAGGCACACGGGCCTGCAGCCATATATAACTTCCTGGAAGTGTTGATTGCCCTGAAGTAGCAGATAGAATGAATATTCACAAGTTGATTGCATCAAAGCAAGCCATGGGCCATGGGATGATTTCTCACATGTTTTGGTGCATGTAGCTGCGAGGACATCCGGCGTCCAGGCGAAGAAGAGAAGGAGAAGGAGGACAGGGTGTGATGCAGTTGATAGAGCATTTTTCTTTTGGCGTTTCGATCGATCAACTGTGATCAAACCCTGCAAAGAGCAGGATTCTGCCCATAATCAAAAGATAGAGACCGGACGTGATTGGATCGCAAGTTCCCTGCGGTTCTGCAATCGATGATTTTGGCTTCACGACCCCACTTTCGGATTGATTCGCCTTAACGGAGCGAAAAAACATGGAAAAGAACATCGCCAGCACCGCCAGTGGGCGAAGTGATGATGGTTGAGGATCCCTGATGGCGAGCCTTTTCGATGGTTGGGTTGAAAGGGTCAAAACCATGATTCACACCACCCGCGTTGACTTCGTGGTTCAAACCTCCGTGAATCGGCCCGTTCACCGTGGGGGGGCGACGGTGTTCACCCGTGCCCGGGTCCTCCGTTGAACGGAGCCCTTCAGGACGAGGACTACGACCCCTTCGCCACCGCACCCGCCGGGGTCCACACCGGTCGGGTCGGGTCGGATGCCGATCGATGCGGAAGAGAGACGAATTGGAGCCGCCAGTGTTTCGGAGCTTCCCGAACGGACGAGCGCTCTCACAGAGGTTTACTTCTAAAAGGGTCAATCAAATAGCCCATTTCGAATCACCAGATCAGGGGGTCGTTTGATTGCCGGATGGATGCGCATGATGCGCACCAGATTGAGTCAAGCTGTGTCAGTGCTGTGTCAGTGATTGGTCTGGTCTCTCAACCTGAGAGCCTCCAGATTTTTGTCGATTTTTGGGTTGGTTGAGAGACCGGCGACGCGCGCGTCATGTGGGCGGATTTCTTGGTCCAGCCGCAGTGAAGAATGAAGACCACGACGGGACACAAAATCATATGTACACCTGCACATACACCCGCATAATACATACGTATCATACATACATACAGTCATAATTTCATTTCATTTCATTTTCATTTCACACACGGCAAGTGCAGTCAAGCGCGCCGCCTAGCATCTAAATTCTGAATTAATCTGTGCGCGCGAAATCAGGCCCGTGAGTCTCATGCTCAAACGTGGTCACTGAAAGCGATCGTAGCCACCTGAGATCATCGGGAGCATCTTCTAGTTCTTCGACTAGGCGCTTCGACCGATGAAAAAACAGTTGGGCAATCATAGTGCACAATTGCGGTGTGTATTCTTTCAACTTAGCTGTCTTGAAAGAACCACCGTCTCGTCCGATGGAAGCAACCATCGGTCGCGTGGACGTTCTACAGGAAAACTCGATCTTGCGGGCCATCTCAGACGTCAATCCGCTCAGAAGGAACCGGGTAGGCTTAGGACTCGTCTGATGGAAGAATCCTTGTTCAAGTGGCAGTTCAACAAACAACCCCGTCTGGCGAAGCCACCCTAATAAGGCAGTGTTCCAAATGCTTGGTGACCTCGTTTTGCTGGGATCGAAAGAGCGAGGGTCATCTGGGTGTTCAAGGAGTGAAAACTTCCCTTGCGCCGCCTGTACGAGACAAACTTTCAGCGCGAACAACATGAGCCTATTGCCAACGTCCAATTGCTGAAATTCTCAGGGCACAAGGTCAAGCAACCCCCACGGCGCCTCCGCTGTTCGCAGAGGCCTTGGCCCTTTCTTTGGCGACATGCCATCTGCTTCTCTCGCAACTGACCATGTCTCACACCTTCTGCTAGTCCGTCGCGTGCTAGTCGAAGCCACAACTGCTGTGTGTCCTCTTGTAGCAAATTGCAGTATTTGCTGGAGACCATTACATCTACTGATAGTACCCAAAGGGTAGTGCCGGGTTCCGGCTCCAGCAACTCTAGTGCATCTTGCAAGTCGCCTGGTCTTCTCCTTCCACTGAAAAGGTGGAAGAAATATCTGTCCCTGAATGCTTTTCTCGGTCGGTGTGTGGGAATTTGGCTGCACATGACAGCTCTTCGGTCTTGTTCATTCTCAATGTTCTTTTCGAGCCCGGCTAGCACCCACCCTTCTATGGCAGCGAACTCTCCCGTGATCCTTGAGCCAACCTTTAGGAGAGCCGGATCCGCATTAGGACCAAGATCTTGCAGCCATTGCCCGAAGACCTTGACAATATCCGGGAACGGCATTGGTCTATTGCAGGTGTCTCGTATCCTGTGGTACAAGTCAGCTTCGAAAGATGGATGGTCGACCGAAACTACGAAATGCCGAAGCTCGGCGTCAAGGTCGTGCTTCAAGCCCTCATCATCACGGTTGGTGTCATCATCGTGGCATACTGGAGTCTGTTCCCGGTATGTCCATGGCATGAGACTATGAGCCTGTGTCTGACTGGTGATGGGTGGGCCACGAGCTTTCCAGGCAAAGTTGCGGCATACAGCACTGTACTGAAAGTGATGCTTCAGTTTCTCTCGGCAAAAATATTCTTTTGCACAAACAGGACATGAAGTGCCTTGGGCAGCTTGTCCAGCCATTGAGAGATACGAATGCTTGTGGTATGCGTGCAAAAACCACGCACGCTTATTTTGGAAAGCTTGCTCGCAAATGAGACAGTAATGTCGGGTCATCGTCTCCTGTCCCTTTACTATCGACCCTAGCTCCGCTAGCATCTTAATGATTTCACTATGCGCCTGTTTGACCCTTGCCTCATGGATGCGAAAGGTTCTATATCTGGCAACAATGCGCCGCACTAACCGTTTCCATGTGTGCGGAGTGCTGCTGGCTATTTGTTCCCACATCGGCCAAAAGTACGGCTGTGGTATGTCGGGGTCCCTGCCTAATGCCAGCCAGAACCAATTCATTGATGCTTCATAGGCGTGTCTGGCTCTTTCATCTTGCCGCATGAGTGCCCATACCGCAGTTGGGGCGTGTGCTACCATAGCTCCAAGGTGCCGAACTCTTGCTGCGTGCAGGCGGTCAGTTGGCGTGGCCAGTTCTAAGGACACTAGGACTTCTGCATTAGAAACGTGACGGGAATGCATTTCGTTCGCCAATGGACTGATCTTGCGGTACAAATTATGACAGGCATTCTGCCACATCTTCCACTCGGAGACCTGTAATAGAGGCCAGGCTCCACATCCCCAAGTAAAAATGGACATCACAGTAGCCTCGAAAATTTGGATTCGCAATTTGAGGGGGTACCCCTGTGCTTTCAAGACCTTTCGAGCAATTCTGGCAAAGGCTGCGTTTGCCTTACCTATGCGTGCTGAGATCTCAAGCTTCATGCTAGCTTTAGCAGAAACAATGCCTCCGAGATGCCTATATTGTGTGACTATCGGAAGCGAGACAGTTTCTGCTTCAAGCAAGACTGGAATTTGCGGATTCTTAGTAGCATAGATCCGTCTTCTCGCAGTAACAGCGTGAGGGCCTCGTACAAAAAGCAAGGCAGCTGTCTTTGCTGTGCCTATGGACGCCTTCATTCCGAACCTGGCTAGTTGTGTCAGCAGAGCCTGTGCAGCAAGGCCCGTTTGCTGAATCACTCTCTCTGGAGAGTGTAATGGCAAGAGGAGGGCAAGATCGTCCGCCCATGTTGCGTGACATGAGGTTTCCTTGGCCTGATTTGGCTCTTCTTTTAATGGCAGAAGTACACGTTCCGCGTCAGCGGAAGTCATCAAGGCTAATCCAAGTTTCTGTAGTTCCCTTTGGGTCTCTTTGATAACTTCTGCGAAAAGAACATTGAAGGTAATATCTGCCCATGAGTCACCCGGCCTGGTGCCTACCAGTGTATGGATAAGCGGTCCTCGCTCAGTCCAGAACCAGGTGCCTGACAAGCTTTCCTGCAACAAAGATCGCTCAGCATGTGTGCCTCCAAGTGTTTCATGGGAGGACTTGCCTGTCAATGCCTCGTGCAATTTGTGCATTACTTCACTAGGCAGTCCTAACCTGGAAACAACAGTAGCGATGTGCTCGTCTGTCATGTCCGCTCCTGTGGCCAGCTGACGCAGGACACGATAAAAGGCAGAGGCGATATCACAGAACAGCACGGCACAGCATTTTCCTCGGTCACGATTCATCGATATGAAGTGCCGGACAACTTGAGCCCCGAAAATCACACTTTGGGCTGGCTTGCCCCCGAAATGTGTTTCAGTGCTATTGTCGACAAAAGCTCGGTTGACCTTGGAACGCATTCCTGCCCGAACGGCTTTGCCAATGGTGCTCATGAGAAGGATTCCTCTGAAGCTCGAGCATTCCTGTACCGGCCCCTTGCCTTTGTACAACTTGATTAATTGTCCCCCTTTCCATTGGACCGGCTCATGGAGCCACACAGCAAATTTAGTCATGAGCGGGAACAAGACCCTCGCCAGCTCTCGGGGAAACATATGGAGGATGTCTCCAGGCACTCCGTCAGGTCCCATGGCCTTATGTGAATGAACCCGTCGGAGTGCGTTTTCAAGCTGGTATAGTGTAGGCATCTCGCTGAGTGCCTCCCACCTAGGTTGCTGACTTTGTTGCTGTCGCTGCAGTTCATTCCAGACAAAATCAGCTGGGTCTACTTCATGTCCGCCTTCGAGCTGTGCAAAATGCTCTGTCCATCTTTGCTGGTATTCCGAGAAGCTAGTCGTAGCACCGCCATCCAGCTTATTAACTTGCGGCAGTGGCATTCCAACTCCATGCCGGCGACTCGTGCCAATGAGCGGGCGAAGCATCCGAAACACATCTCCGGGTTTGGAGTCTTTGACTCTATCACAAACGCCGGCCAAATAGGACTTTCGATCAGCTTGTAGCTGTTTCCTTAGCTTCCATGCAGTATCATTCAACTGAGACCGGATCATTGCCTGCTTAACGTGGAAGGTCTTGGCCCATTCGTCCGTGACTCCTATGTAGTTTCGGTTTCTCCATTTATCGAAACATTCCCTAATCAGTGCAAGCCTGGCCATCATCTTGTATGGCTTGAGCTGTCTCCTGAGACTGACATTCAGGGCACATAGTTGTCTGGCATCGTCGCTAGCGATCTTATTCTGTCTCAATCTTTTTTGACGTGGGAATGCTCTACAGAGCGACTCTCTGATGTGCTTGCTGATTTGAGCTGCGTGGACCGACGCATTGACTTCCCATGACACTTCGGGTATGGTCTCAATGATGTCCCTGAGGATGGGCTTTGCATCAGGCCTATGTATCGCATCATGATCATAGCTGTGGCGATTGCTAGCACTCATTTGAAGCGCTTGTGTCCAGTTCAGATACGCAGCGGCGCAAGAGTGATCTGGCACGGCCGCACCCGAACTTATTTCTGTATCAACCCATGTGGAGATAACAGCAGACCGCCAATGTATTGGGAGAGCAATGTAATCAAGTCTGCTGCATGTGCCTCCCCCTGGATGGGTCCATGTGGCAATGTCTCCCCAATGAAACTCCTCGAATGTGCTGGGTAGGAAGAGGCCAGTAGAGGCCAGGAGGTCTACAAAAGACAGCTCGTTAGGAGTTGGAAAGTTCTCCACAAGATTGCCCACAATGGCATCAACTGGTGTGTGCAGTCTAGCATTTGCGTCAATGAGTAGTATCCTATCTACTGACCGCTCATGCAGACAGCAAATCCCCCGCAGCTGCTCCCACCATTGTTCTCGATCATTCTGACCTGCTCCACTGCGCGGGCTATGTGCGGAAATGGCCACAAACTCTAAGATTTTATTCTTACAATGCACAGCGATAATCCTCGGATCACTATATAGAACCACAAAGTCAGTCCTAGTGAAGAAATGTGCCTTGCCCTTACCATCGACAGCAAATGGAATATCCAGGGAAAACCACAGCTCTGTACCATACTGACCTTGTCCATCTGCCCCAGAACAAAATCGGACGTGTGTGCTGCTTGCGATCATCCCTGCCTTATTTCGAGTTTCCTGGAGACCAATGATGTGGTATCCGGCCGCTTGGAATTGGTCGCGGAGCAGGGCAACACGTCCGAGCTCCGGTGCTTGGATCATAATTTGATCTTTGGCCGATAACACATTGTACGTGGCAAGCTTCAGATCAAATTGGGCAAGCTGGGACACGGCTCGTACCTGGGATGAGTCCGGGATCATTTCCGTGACAATGAACTGAATTTCTTCTGCTGTAACTGTCCCTGTTCGATGGTGTCGAATGCCCGAGGGACCAATGGTTTTTGAAGGATCCGGGGACACGAAGAAAAGCCACATCCATTCGGCATTTTCTTCTAACAAAGCAAGTGCCTGTCGGAGCTGTCCTTCGTCTGCTCTTGTCACACCCTGGCTGACGGCCCATTTGGCCGCAGCATCCACTAGTTCATTGTATATTTCACCTTGGTGTGCCCGAACATGGGTGTGATGGACTTTATTTGGCGCAATCATCGATTCGAGAGCTTGTTGCAAGTGGCGAGCCAGAGCCCCCGGTCGATCTGTCGCAAGGCACGAACCAGAGGCCTTACCCCCTGCAGTGGTAGAGTCCCAGCGAAACTCGACAGGGCCCCTCCAGCCCGTGAGCCAGATCCATCGGATTAGCCACCAACATGCCCAGACCAGGGCTCCAACCTCTCCCTGCTGCGCAGTATGGGCTACGCTTCCTATAAATGAGGGACCATCTGGGTCAGTCTCTACTTGTCCTGCCCGGTACCCGAGAGCACAAGTCTCCGGCCCGTCCTGGAACAGTATAGCGAAGGCCCAAGCACTCTTGTCTCGATCGAATGATCCATCTGTGTAGACTGTGATTGCTTGTACCTGGGAATTATTCCAATCTTCCAGCATGCACCAGTACAGGTTCCCAAGCTCTGTCTGCACCTTTTCGTCGAGAGAGTGCAATGTGTCAATGTCGTGACTAAGCGCTTCCGCCGGAAATGAGAGGCCTACACATCCAGCAATGTCAGGAAGGCCTAGAGCTGTGCCTGGCTGATTCCCTCTCTCAGTGTTCTTTCTCTCGGTTTCTGTACTCTCTCCAGCTTCCTGCTTTTGATCACAACTGAGGTGATCCGCTAGACGGACCAACACTCTCCGAAAAGGCGTAGTGACTTCACGGATGGCTTCGTTTAGATACAGTGTTTGTTTGTTCGGATTCCCGGGTGGGGCCAGGCCTTGGACTGGAGACTTCTCCCAGGCAGTCTGTGTCTGAGGCTGTACTGTCACGTACTCGCCTAGATCTATTACTCCCTTCACATATGGATTTGGTCGCTTCCTTATTAACCTTGCTTCTCTCTGCAAAAGCTCGAAATGCAGTGCGGTTCCACTGGCGTGAACCCATGGATCAGTGCTGATGTCGCAAAATGGACTACGTTCCTCCATGTCAAGCTCAAGAATATCACCATCTTCCGGGTATATGTTTTCAATGAACCTCACAAATCGGCCGTTCCATTGCAGCGTACAAACTACATCACAACGTTGGCACTTCTCTGCATACTGGCAGCTTCTAACAATGTCAGCTTCAACAATGGGAGGGGTCACTTTAGCTGCCCACATGGTGCTATCTTGGAGCGTCCCATCCCTGCAAAGTACAAGGACCGACTTCGTGAGTGCTAAATTATCGTGATCATCCAAAATGATGGCCTCCATATTCCCTGTGAGCTCAGGACACTGCTCCCAGTGTCTATTGATCAAGACCCGTCTACGGAATAGGTGACTATGATCCGGCCAATGGCGTTCGGCAGCACCATAAACGATGTTCCAAGTATACCAATCTTCGACAGGAATGCGTACTCGGCTGTTGGCAACAAGGTGTCGTTTGGTGATCCGGAAGATCAAGATCTTTCCATTCGAACGGAAGGGCTGTTCCTGTGATCTCCACTGCCTAGAATCCCATCCTGCTGTGAACGGCAAATGGGATATCTGAAAGTCTTGTTGGTTTCTATGACCTGAACGAACAACAATAGTAATGAGGTCACCATTCAAGAACCGAGCGGCGAAATCAGGCATTAGCGACATTCCCTCATGTCTGACTTCACAGTAGAAAACGGCACAATCACGGACCTTGCCAAGTTGTACTAGCTCACGGGGTGTGATGGATCCTCTAATGAGGAGCGGAGTCATTCGAGATATGATACTATCCCATTGTAGCCTGACAACCTCCAGTACCACAATCCTAGTTTCGGGCTGGAGTCCCCATCTATGAGGCCTGATGGCCAGAGTAATCAGCCCCGGCTGTTGGTCGACTCGGTAGGGACTCCTAACCTCGAAGATGCGGAATCGAACGTAATTGAGATCAGGCCAGGCAGTCCACAAAATTCCTGACAAGTCGAAATGAGCAGGTGGAAACCATAGCGCGCGGAAGTCCAGCCTGGTCGGCAGCAGCGGGTCCTCAGGCCTGAGAATATGAACAGCATGTCCCTCATTCCATGAGTGGATGGCCAGTTCCCGTCTTGCGACCATATCAATCCAGTTATCATCCTGCAGAGGATGCCAGGTTAACTCCTCAATGTAATATGCAGCTGTAGACTGTGAGACATGATCACCACTAACTCTAGCAGTTGCCAGCACTGGGATACTTATTCCGGCAATGATTGTCAAGAGCGAAGCGTCCTCAGCTTCCTCATGGTTATGCTCAACATGTCGTGTGTGTCCGAAGGATTCAACGTTATCCCGGGCCGCTGGGCCACTCTGGCTGCTTGTCGCATTCCCGGGCAACGGCCTGATGACAGTATTTTCGGATTGGTATCTCATATCCTGCCTGGGCATGGATTCAGGTCCAGGGTCAGACAGCGATGACCAAGTATCATGCGAAAACTGCCCTAGGCTAGTGGTGGGTTCAGCTGTCGAATCGACTGGATTGATTACTGCAAGTACTGGAAGCGATCTAATGCATAAGACGTCACCTGGATGCAGCTGTACATCATCCCTCCCTTCTACCTGACGATTATTCAGAGTGATCGTAAAGTATTCCGGAAGTTCTAGATGTCTGGCTGCCCAGTAAAGGATGTTAGCAACCCTCTCTACTCTCATCGCATCATAGACCCAAAATGCTGACCTGGCTTGCATGACTTGGATGATGAGAGGAAAGTGTCCAGTTTGCAAATGCTCAACTAGCACAATTGAGGGGATATTTTGATAGAGCTCCACATTTGAGAAGAAGGCCCTGGTGTACCTGACATCAAAAGGAAAGGCAAACTGCTGGCACCAGTTGCTAAAGAGATGTACTGGCCTGTTAGCATCAAGTATCCAATCTGGACAGTCAACTCCCGTGCTGGTCGTGTGCTCTTGTCGACAGATTAGGATATGCACGAAGGGATTCCTGCCTAGCTGTCTGCGACCTACCGCCCTGGCATACTCATAGACAGCCCCTCTGACTCTCTGCCAACTGTGGAGCCAATCGGAGTCCTCATTAGGTTGCGGCCCAACAGGAGGAGGCCTGCTACTGATTTCAGAAACGTCTGCCGTGTACTCTCCAGACGGTGGAGTATCTAGAGATTGGAGATCCTCTTCTGACTGTGGGAACGGCCTCTGCATCAGCGAAGTTTCATCCGATGATCTAGTCTCAGATCGGTGCTGCAGGACCCTTCTTGCACTTCGATATACCTCAGAGTGCCTCTGTGCGTCACCTGTGGCAACTATATCCGCTACAGTCTTGGCAAGGCGGGCAATCCTTCTGGGGGAGTTTGACCGGGTGCATTGTCTGCGTTCCTTTGTGACAACTGACAAGAAACCCCTGGAAGCTGTTGGAACATCAATTCTGTCAAGCTCCTGAAACGTACCTTCGCAAGTGCCATGTTTGACTGTTAGCATGCACTTGTATCTGGCCCCGCACCAACTGGTCAGACCTAGAATGTCAAAGATCCCGAAAACCGTGCAGGGCCTTGGGCATGAGACTGCCGCAGTCTGAGGTAATCGATGGAGCCGGTGCTCAACTACAAGGAGCATGTGATCTGGCAGTTCGAAAGCGAAGGGCGTAAGTAATTGCAAGGTGGAAGGCTTGTCACCTGCCAGCGACATTGCTGGTGGCTGTGGGATGACAGTATACATGAGACCACTTTCAAATCGACTGCCCTGCATGAGCTTGGCGATCTGGTCGTGCCACGGGCTCCTATCGGAAAATCCCCAGTTGAAGGGTGTTCCAATTCTCTGGGTGAAGTCCCTAAACAGCCATCCACTGATTCGAAAGTGGCTTTGAGAGAGTCCTTGCCTTGCAAAGTGATTGCGAACATAGTCAACTCCGCGGAAATCCCAGCATCTTTGCATCTCCAGGGGTCTGAGGCGTAACGGCTCCATCCAGGCAAGGCGATTAGCAACACATCTGGCCCAGCGCGCCACAGCCTTGTTGGACCTTCCATCATCCATATACAATCTTTCATAGTTGGATTCTGTGGGCTGGACTTGGTCATTTGTAGCCCGATTTTCCCCACTCCCTGGGGTTGCAGTGTTTTCCCCGTCTTTGACTTGCTGCGTGAGGATGGCGTCATCAGTCTCCACCTCAGAGTCTGCATGTTCCACATCCCCCATATCTGTCACATCATGTTCCTGGGTCTCTTCGTCGCACCCAGCCGCTGCCAAATCGAAGACCACCTCGATATCAATCCGTTTGGCGATATAAACAGGGTAACTGACTCCCGGCAGCCATTGATCTCAATTTGATGACACCGTGCAGTGGACCACTTCGCACATGCCAGTCATAGCCGTATTGCGCAACACGATTTCCCTGGTGCTACACATGTGGGTCTTGAATGCCCGGATGTGATATTGATCTTGCTGCCTGTTGACGTAATTTGTAACCAGCATGACCGCAATTTCACTATCCTGCGCAAGCTGCCCCACAATGTAAACATCGTCCCTTCCATGTTGCTGCCTCGTTGTTGGCTGAGGGTGGGCTGTGCCTAAAGCATAACGAAGATCAGGCGATATCTGATTCCAGAGCATTAATCGAATCTCTGCCCGGGCTTCCGCCAGTCCGGGCTGCAGACTCCATTCGTCCTCCCATTGCAGGTTCAACTGTCCTGCTAATGCATCATTCTCGTCGAACCAAAGCAGAAAGACTTTGGTGCCTCGCGGGGCGATTGGGGCCATGGCAACAA